AGTACTAATTAATATATATTTAGTTCAATTTTATTTTTATTTTTATTTTTATTTTTATTTTTATTTTTTGCAAACTAGTTCAAAATATATAAGAAAATCAAAGTACAAGATTATTAGGAAATATTTAGTGTTTAAAAAATTATTTTGAAATTTTTTCTTTATGAGTTTCTTCCTAATTGATGTTATTATTACATATAAAAGAATAATGTTATATTTCCTCCCAAATGATTTATATTCATTATGTGCCTATGAATTGACTAATCCCATCAAGAACTTAAAAAAAAAAAAAAAAAAAAAAAAGGGTTAAATAGGCCATCGAACTGCACATGATAATACAATTAGGTCACTGAACTCAAAAAAATCAACAATTGGGTTCCTAAACTAACCAATTTCAAACAATTCTTCCAATTTGAAGGTTTCCAACATGTCATCCTCCCAAATTAATTACTAAAAAAAAAAAACATAATCCGGCCGGAGACGAAGAAACCTTCTAGGCTCAGTGGCCTAATTTGATTATCGTGTGCAGTTCGATAGCCTATTTGACCCTTATTCCAAAAAAAAAAAAGTTTACTAGTGATAGGGAATATCCCCCGGACTTACTTACCTATACGTATTGCATACCTGCGCGGAATCCTGTCAAGCTACTGAGAGGAACAATTCCCGACCACAATTGACTTTAAAGCTGACTGACCCGACCTAAGCAAAAGGACGAGCAAAGGCTTAGCTGACAGTAGTCTTCACCCGCCTTTAGATCCATCACGGCCTTCTTAGGTCGAGACGAACTATCCGACCTTCTCCACTTTGAAAGCTAAGCCTTACTCCTTTAGTTCAACCCGATCACAGCAGAAACGGGGGGATCAGGAACCTTAGCACACGTGGGGAAATCAGCGGAGCCTCCGGCATTCCCCCGTGCATGGGTCACACGTGTCGCGCATGCCGAGCCTCCAGCATGTGCTCCCTTCACCCCTATAAATATCGCATTAAATGCTAATAATGCGAACTTTTTGGCATCTTAACCTACCATACTATAGCTCGATAGTCTTCGACCTCACGTCGTTTCCCGAGCATAAACTTAAACCAACAAGCAGACTATTAAGAGGACCCATCTACGCCCCAACCTCACGAGTTTATACGTATTTGAGGAATCACGACGTATTTACTACATCTGTAACATCCCCGAATCCTAACACTAGAGCCTAGGATAATTATATACTTATGTAGAAAAATAAATTAAAAAGGTTCCATTCATGCTAAGATATCACTTAGAATCCTTAATATCATACGGGGAATGTTACCGCCGCAACTATCCACTCCTGGGGAGCTATAAGGCTAAATCAAACACAAACATACATACATAACTAAAAGATAAAGTAAGGGCTCTATCTAACTTCAACATTTCTACACAATTCAAGTAAAATCTTCTTAATACTACAACCTTATGCAATACTACACAACCTCCAGGAACTAATTTATTACTATCCAAAAATAATCTTTGAGGTGTTAAACCTCTACAACGCGCTTTCAAAGCTAGCCACAACTTCGAAACCTAAAAACAGTAAGGGTGAAAGGACATGGAACAAAGGAATTAGCATAAAAATGCTAAGTATGGTTCACTCCGCCTTATCAAATAAGTACATTTTTAGTTTGGAAATAGTTTTATATTTTGTAATTAGGTTTTGATGAAACTCGAGTATACCACATTTTAGAAAACGTCTAGCCAAGGGCTTAGAAGGAACATTTTTAAAAGGGTTTCAAAAAAACTTTAAGTCAACACTCTGATCAAATGAAGACTTTTTAGAATAAGAGAAGGAGACTCTACAATTGTAATTCACACCAAAGCAAGAGGTTTTTTTTTTTTTTTTTTTTTTTTTTTTTTTCAAAACAAAGGTTTAAGATCATTTTCCCCAAAAGCACGCACACCAAACCAAAGATATGATTTTTCTTAAAAAAAACAGTTGAGACTCTAGAAACACACCAAGTAGCAATAATCATACTATGAACATCGCTATTAACAAGACAGTTTCACTCAATGCCTTAGATGAGATTATAATACATATACCTCAAAATAGTTTCCCAAAATAATATAAGTACCATAGTCATAATACAGGATATTCAAATATAATTTTCATATGTCATAATGGATAATAGACTTCAAAGTAATAATAATCAACGCTACTCAGAACATAGCATAATATATAGTACAACAGATTCCTTAGTAAGATAGTAACTAATATTTTCAAACCTTGTAACTATTTCAATATTCATAAGTATGGAGGATATCAAAGTAATCTTTCTCACATAATACTTTACAACATAATAATCATTTCAAGACATAATCTTTTCTCATAAGCATTTCCAAAACATAATATAGATATGGAGGAACTCATAACATCATATAACATTACTCATCTCGAGTATAGATTTTCTCAAAGTCATTCACACACACACATATCTTAACTATAATAAAGCTATATAGTTTGGGAAGTAATTAATGTTACAATTATTATTTTGGTGAGTAATTATTGTTATAATTATTGATTTTCAGCCTGTAAGTTTTTTGTTGTTTCAACTATTTCACCTCAACATTATTGTTAGGATCAAGTGCTAACCACTGCGTCAAAAGTTATAGTTAGTAGCGAAAACACAATTTTATTTTCTTATACCGCTACACATTTTTGAGAGGACAAGATGCTAAACTTGACCCGACTTGATTTTCTGGGTCTAAACTCAACAATCGCTTGACTACCAAGTACTAGACTTGGCGCTTTATTGGCCTCAGCCAATAATTATTTTATACTTGAAATGAAGAGCCCATCATTAGTCATGGCGTACCTTGTTTGCATAATAACTACCATTGCATATAGATGTTGGCAACATTATCAATTATCAACATTTGAGTTGTTTGATCTGGCCTAGCTAGTCATCAATCACAAAATCTTCATCCCATTGAATCTTGGAGCAAATTCTACTAAATCACATAAGGTATAAGATTTCGATCTTTGAATTTGAGACAACTTGCCTGACCACGTCATTTGTCCTAACCTACCATTATAGACAAAATGGGACAAGATTTTGACTTTTGAGTTTGAAACAACTTATTGAGCACCAAATCTTTAGTCTTGACTTGCCATTATCGTTAGTATAAGATTCTAAAAAAAATTTAAGCTTGAAATAACTTGTTAAATATTGAATCCTTAATTTTGGTCCGCCACCGGAACATCCAATCTGATAATAAGTACAAGTAATAGTACAAGTAATAGTATTAGTTTCAAGTTCAATTAGATTATTTGAACACTTAGTGGCATTATAGCACACATAAATTTGAATTTTTAAATTCACGTTTAAACGACTAAATTAAAACGTATTTTACTTGAATCAACATCTATTGTTCGACTTTTGTGCAGGCAGAAGAGGTGATTGACAAACTAGTGAAAGAAGCTATAGATAACCCACGTCTGCCACTGCAATTGGGACTAAAATTCCCCCCCCACTGAGTGTTTCCTCAACGAGCTCCAGAAACAAGGCATCTCCACCATCTCACACACCAACTGTTACACAGTGCACTGTGGACCCTGGTCCAATATACATAATTTAATTTCATGAAATACAAAATTCATGTTCATAATTCACAGAATTCGTGTTCATAATACATATACACGATATAATAAACATGAATTCTGTGTATTATGTTAAGTGTTTATGTGTCCTTAATTAAATAAATTCTATGCATTATAAACATGAATTTTGTACTTTATGAAGTCAAATTCTGTATATTGTACCAGGGTCCACGGTACAGTGCACTGTGGACCAGCTGTGGATCCTGGCCCACGATATAAATTGCCCTCACACGGTAAATTATATGGTGCACCAGGGTGCACAATGCATTGTGCATCTTAAGAGTTTATGTATATTATGCTAAGAGTTTATGTGTATTATGTTAAGAGTTCATGTATATTATGTTAAAAGTTCATGTGTAATTATGTTAAGAGTTCATGTGTATTATGTTTTATTTAAATTATGTGTATTATGTTAGGACTTTATGTATATTCTAATATACAATTATATATATACGAAACAGAAGATTTTTAGGGTGCACAATATAACAATTGGAAGTGGCAAATTATATCGTGCACCGCGCATCAAAACGACGTCGTTTTGTTTAATGAAAAGAAACGGAATCCGTTTCGCACCGTTCCACAAAAAATAACTCTATTCTTTAGTTTCATTTTGTATACACTGCATTTTCAGTTCAACACAACTACAATTTCATTTCGATATAACTACAGTTTCATTCAATGTGTGAAAATGTTATTTAATTTTATTTTATATACACTATAGTTTTATTAAAACACAACTACATGATCACTTCGATATAATTACAGCTTCATTGTACAATATATACTCAAATATGTGAAATGTTATTCAGTTTCATTTTATATATACTGAAATTTCATTTCACCACAACTACAGTATCATTTAGATATAACTGCAGTTTCATTTGATAATATAAAAATAATACGTAAGGCAGTGTCGGTTTAGATACACTGTAGTGTCACTCCGTTAACACCAGTGTTGCAAAAATCGGTCCAGGTGCCCCTAGACCGTGTCGATTTCCCCCCTAGGCGCCCGATTAGGCAATCGGCGGCGTCCGCCTAATGCCTAATTCGGCCGACATGGCCGTCTAGCATCTAACTTAGCCGAATTAACTCGTCTATTTTGGTCGAGTTAACTCGATCAGCTCGGCCTTGCTAATTATTTACATTATATATATATATATATATATATGTGTGTGTGTGTGTGGGCGTGCGTGCACACATATATATATATATATATATATATATATGTGTGTGTGTGTGTGTGTGTGATGACGACGACAACAAAAGCATAATATATATAAGTATCTGGTTTGATACACCACACCATACCAGAACTAGTCATAGCCTGCCCCGCCCCTTTGTGCTGCTGCATCTTTGTTTGGTAAAGGTTGAGTGTCAATGTTTTGCAGGTTGAATGGAGACCCGAACATGAAGGGGAAAGAGTTGGCATTGAGAAGAGAATTCAAGACTTTGCACTGATCAAACCTATCTCCTGAGGAACGGCATTCGCTGGTGGGAATAATGCTACTGTGCTTTTGAAGGTAAGTGTTGTGTTCACACTGAATAATATTCCCAGACTTGTGTAGTAAGTTGGTCTCATAGAATGTCATAAGCTCCTGCAAAGTATGAGGCAATATCGGACCAACTTGATTAGTACTCCCCTCGTTCGTTCCCGGGATTGCACTTTCCACCTGCAGGTACTTAGCTATCGCGGCTGGACCATTTCGATCAAACCTCACTTTATCCTTCCACCACTCCTTGAGATTGTCAGACGCCCCGCTCACTGGCTTGCCATTCTCGATCCGGGATGATCCCATAAACAAAACCCTCAGCTTTACACACTTCCATCATCTTCAACATGTACTTTAAGATCCCATCCTCGCCTCGGGACATCTTCTTCCTCCTTGCTTGTTCTACAAACTTTCGTTGTTTGGCTGGATCAACACCTTCCTTCCACTTATTACTCTCTTTCAGTCTTGTCAGCTTCATCTTGTCCCTCCACATCCTCCTCTCCAATTCACCCTCATCACTGTAATCATCATCCACCACCGGGTCAGCACCAGCAGGCATCAACTCCTTGATTGGAGCTGAAAAGAAATCAAAATCCCATCTCATCAAACATCAGCATCATCTTCTCCAGAATCTGCACCAGCAATCCAAGCCCAAATCAAAGAAATTCCTCCAGACACCCGAAATTCAACAGTTATGTTTTAGCCCTAAACCTTAAACCTAAACCCAAAAAAAAAATAACAACAAACACATGGAATCAACTAAAAGTAATGAGAAAAGGGCCTGCCTGCCTTTCTTCTTGCAGATACACACACACACACTATCATTAAATCCGTGACCAAACACTAATTATCAAAAGTAGTTCAGATTTACAAAACAGAAACAGAAAGACAAGAGCTTTTGTCCAAACCTCACAAAATGAACCACCCCTTTTCACAATTAAATCCAAGCAACCTCCTCATAGAGATCTAGAAAACCATGTAACACCCATCACCCACAATGGTCTGCTTAAAACCAGCAGTACACAGCTTTACCTACCTCTGGTTTAGATGATTAGAGCTTATGGTATGATGGATTCCTTGGATTGAACACTAGGCCAACTCACCAATCCCATATATATAGTAACACTCATAACTCCCAAAACTCAAAGACATAAATTTTTACCAAACATACCCACAAAAAATCTGATGATGCAATAAAAGCAGCGCTGAGGTTTGTTGGGTAATTGGGTGTAAAATCCCAAAATAATAATAATTCTACGGAAAGATTAATATTATATGGGAAAACAAAAAAATTGGGAAGGAAAAGGTTGAGTGTTTGGGTATAAGTTTAGCACGAGTTCGAACACAAGGTTCTTTTCCTTAAAACCTTATTTGCTACCTTCCACAAGTGCTAGGAGCGTTGTAGTCTAGGTTTCCCAGGATAAAACGTGCTACGATTCCTTGTTTAAACACCTAAACAAGAAACCCGGCAAACAAAGCAAAGTAGAGAACACTAGTTGGTAAAGAAGAGAGTAGAAGTAGAGTTTTGGGAAGCTGAAAGCTACTGGAATTCCTTTCGTTTTTGTACTGTGTGAAAATACTACTGCTCTACCTCTCTTTATATAGGGCTGTTGGAAGGGATAGCATTCAACATGGCTTTTAATTGGTATTAAACCAATTGTATAACACCTGTAACGGTCACCCACTAAGTAGGATTAAACTCATATTTAAAATTGGAATTAAAACAGTATTAATTCCGTAACAGATGAGTTTAATCTGTACAACAGGCTGAACTTTCGGGTTTTAGACCGTTGGGGTGCAGGTTCACACGAGAGCACACGGACCAGCAACACGAGAGTACATCTCTCGTGCTCACTGTGGTGCAACCCGAGAGTGCACTACCAGGTTCACACGAGAGCACACGGACCAGCAACACGAGAGTACATCTCTCGTGCTCACTGTGGTGCAACCCGATAGTGCACTACTCTCGTGATCACAGATGCACGAGAGTTGTGCTCTCAGTGCACCACAACCTCTCGTGCTACACACGAGAGTAGGTGCTCTCGGTTCGGTTTTGGCCGAACCAAGTGACTATATCAGATGGAAAATGATACCGAAGTTAGGCATAACTTAGCCTGCAAGGCCAGCCCATTTCCGGACGACATTCGTGCCCGCAGGTGCCGGCGCACGCGAGCTCGGGCTTGAATCAAGCCTTTTCGATGTCCTCTAGTTGGATTTTGATTTGCACACCCCCCCCCCCCCCCCGCGCGAGAGAGCCTCTATGCTATACAATTCTACAAGCTTGAAAAGAGCTCATGTATATAAGGGGGCAAATCTTGTTTCCAAACCAATGTGGGACAAAGTCCTACATTTTCCCTTCATTTCCCAACTTAAATTGGTCTACTTTGAGAATCAATATCTCATTTACCCATTATCCGTTTTGAGCGTATAATATATCAATCTCTTCGTCTTACTACGAAGAATCCGAATCCACTTTGAGCCGACCCAAATCGGAAGTGAACCCCACTGATAATTGTACCACAAAATAGCCACTTAATATGCCATTTTATGCCATTTTAAGCTAATTTTTCCAACAATCCCCCACATGAATGAAAATTGTTTTAAAACGGAAACAACTGTGTTCAACGGTCGATCCCTGCATAGGATAGGTAGGGTCACACCCTTTGAACCTTCCCTCGTGAAGATACATTTACTCTACTGACTGTACGGTAGAACGCGATGTCTTTGAACCGACTGCCGTTTGTGTAGACGATGACATATCTCACACAGGAACCTCCCAACCATGCTTTGTTCTCATGATTGTGCCCATTTTGGTCGTGGGTCACAATTCCTGGTTCTGCAAGAGTTTGTGAAGAATTGTGCCCGTCAATTATCCTTTGAAGCGGCCCTCACTTCTCTCTCACATAGGTGATTCTTTCCCGAGTATCCCGCATACTCACATATGTCAACCGACTTTCGAATCACTAAAGCATTTAACATGCTAACCTTGTGCGGGAGCCACTGTTTCTAACGAGGAGTGGTAGGGAATCCGAGACCCCCACAGTGACACGCTCCGTTCCATAATTTAGTTGTCCCATTGAACCTAGGTGCCAGCTAGGTTGGGTGTCCACTATAGAACTTTATACCAAGGGCTTTAGACCCATTCCTCGTCTCAACTTCTCCACAGCTACTCTACATAACCCTTTGGTTAGCGGATCCGCTATATTGTCTTCTGACTTTACGTAGTCAATCGAGACAACACCAGTTGTGAGAAGTTGTCTAATGGTATTATGTCTACGATGCACATGTCTAGACTTACCATTATACATATGATTCTGTACTCGTCCAATTGCAGCTTGACTATCGCAATGCACACACATTGGAGGTACAGGTCTTTCCCAATTAGGAATATCCTCTAAAAAATGGCGTAGCCATTCAACCTCTTCACAACATTTGTCCAAGACTATCAGCTCAGATTCCATCATGGATCTAGCTATCACGGTCTGTTTAGAGGATTTCCATGCAACGGCTGCACCGGCTAGTGTAAACACGTAGCCACTTGTGGACTTGGAGTCCTTAATATCGGATATCCAGCTAGCGTCGCTATACCCTTCAAGTACAGCAGGATATCTCCCATAGTGCAGTCCAAGGTCTCGAGTATACCTTAAGTATCTCAGAACCTTCACTATTGCCGTCCAGTGCATGGCACCGGGGTTACTCGTATATCTACTGAGTTTACTAACCGCAAAGGCAATATCCGGCCTAGTACAGCTCATTAGATACATCAAACTACCAATAACCCGAGCATATTCTACTTGAGAAATACACTCTCCGTGGTTCTTGGTTAGATGAACGCTTCGATCTAATGGCGTCCTAGTCCCTTGATGATTATCCTTGTTAAATTTTCCAAGGATTTTATCAATATAATGTGATTGGCTTAACACCAGACCATCAGGTCTTCTAATGATTCTAATCCCGAGGATTAAATCAGCCAAACCCATATCCTTCATGTCAAATCTCGCATTTAACATGTTTTTGGTAGACTTGATCATCCGATCGTTACTACCAACGATGAGCATGTCATCTACGTATAAACAAAGAATGACATAACCGTCTATCGTTTCTTTAACGTAGACACATTTGTCACTTTCGTTTATTTTAAATCCATTAGTCAACATCGCATGGTCAAACTTCTCGTGCCATTGCTTAGGCGCTTGTTTTAAACCATATAGCGATTTAACCAACTTACACACTTTCCTTTCTTGGCCCGGAACCACAAACCCTTCGGGTTGTTCCATATAGATTTCCTCATCTAGTTCGCCATTTAGGAAAGCAGTTTTAACGTCCATTTGATGAACTTCCAAATTCCGCAGCGCGGCTATAGAAAGTATCATTCTAATGGAGTTTATTCTCGTCACGGGAGAATACGTGTCGAAGTAATCAAGGCCCTCGCGTTGCCTGTAACCCTTGATTACAAGCCTAGCCTTATACTTCTCGATGGAACCATCGGGTTTCATCTTCCTTTTAAAGACCCACTTGGATCCTAAGGGTTTACTACCCGGAGGAAGATCAACAAGTTCCCAAGTGTGATTCTGTAAAATAGAATCCACTTCACTTTTAATAGCCTCTTTCCACATTGGTCCTTCTGTAGAAGTCACGGCTTCTCCGTACGTTCGAGGCTCGTTTTCTATCAAACAAGATAGAAAATCGGGTTCATTTTCTAATAAACAAGTTAGAGTACTCGAATCGTACTCCAACAAGTAAGTTAGAAAATCAGGACCAAATGATTTTCCAACTCTCGCCCGCTTACTGCGTCTTGGCTCGAGCTCGGGTTCTCTCTCGGATTCCCCACTATCATTATCCATAGCTTCGTCAAATGTTCATTTTGACGAACTCGGTCCCTCATTGGACCTACAAGGAAATACATTTTCAAAGAAAGATGCATTCCTTGATTCTATTATCGTGTTCTCGTGTACGTCCGGATTATGGGACTCGTGTACTAAGAACCGATAAGCACTACTATTATGTGCATAGCCAATAAAGATACAGTCCACTGTCTTAGGACCTATCTTTACTTTCTTAGGTGTTGGCACCAAAACTTTGGCAAGACACCCCCACACTTTCAGGTACTGGTAGGAAGGTTTCCTACCGTTCCACAGCTCATAAGGAGTCTTATCGAGCTTCTTGTGGGGTACCTTATTCAAAAGGCAATTATTTGTCAAAATAGCTTCACCCCACGCGTCTTGAGGTAGGCCCGAACTTATAAGCATCGCATTCATCATATCTTTCAATGTACGATTCTTTCGGTCGGCAACACCGTTCGATTGAGGTGAGTAAGGTGCAGTACGCTCGTGTATTATACCTACACTCGCACAGAAGTCACCAATCGGTGCTTCGTACTCACCACCTCGATCGCTTTTAACTTTCTTAATCTTACAATTAAGTTGGTTTTCAACTTCATTCTTATAAAGAATGAATTTTTCCAAGGCTTCGTCTTTGCTTTTAAGCAAATACACATAGCAATAACGTGTGCTATCGTCGATAAACGTGATAAAATATTTATTACCACCTCTCGTTTGTATCGATCTAAAATCGCACAAATCACTATGGATTAATTCTAGTGGTTCAGTTTCCCTTTCAACCGATTTGAAAGGTACTTTTGTTAATTTTGCCTCAACACAAATTTCACATTTGTTATTTGTGTTAATTTGAAAATTAGGAATATGGTCCATGTTAATTAATCTACGTATAGAATTATAATTAACGTGACCTAGTCTACCATGCCACAAATTGGAAGACTCAAGCAAGTAAACGGAATTAACTTTGCTCTTATTCATGATAATAGGCATTACATTGAGCTTAAAAAGCCCATCAGTTACATAACCTTTGCCTACAAACATTCCTAACTTAGACAAAACAACCTTGTGTGACTCGAACACCATGCGAAAGCCATGCTTGTTCAACAGTGAGCCAGACACCAGATTCTTCCTCAGCTCTGGAACATACAGCACGTTGTTCAATGTCAGTTCCTTCCCGGAAGTCATCTTCAGAACCACCTTGCCCACGCCTTCCACAGCAGACTGAGCAGAGTTTCCCATCCAAACCTGCTCGCCCTCAACGGTCTCAAAGGTATTGAACATCTCTCGGTTGCAACACAAATGCCTTGTTGCACCAGTGTCGATGAACCACTCTCGTGGGTTAGAGTCCACGAGGTTCACCTCGGTCACCATAGCCGAAAGGCTAATCTCGACCTCCTTCTGATTGCTTTCCTCAACCATGTTGGCTTCAGAACTCTTGTTCTTCTTCTTTGGAACTTTGCACTCAGAGGACTTGTGGCCAGTCTTGCCACAATTGAAGCATTTTCCATGAAATTTCTTCTTGGTAATGCCTCCTTTCGGACCTAGCTTTTGCTTGTTCTTCTTGGAGTTTTTAGCATGCTCCACAACATTGGCTTTAGCACCAATAGTGACAGAATTTCTTCCATCATTCGTCCTGTTCCCCTCCTCAATTCAGAGTCGCTGGATCAGGTCCTCCAGGTTCATTTCCTTTCGCTTATGCTTAAGGTAATTCTTGAAGTCCTTCCACCCTGGAGGCAGCAAGTGGATAACAGATCCCACTAGGAAGGCTTCACTCAACGTCATGCCTTCGTCACGCATTTCATCAAAGATTAGTTGTAAATCTTCAACCTGACTTAGCACGGTTTTGGAATCAACCATTTTGAAGTCAAGGAATCGGCCAACCACAAATTTCTTTGCGCCGGCATCCTCACTTCGGTATTTATGATCCAAAGCTTCCCACAGCGCCTTCGCTGTGCCAATCTTGCGATATACATCGTATAACGCATCACACAATCCATTTAGGATGTAGTTTCGGCATAGGAAGTCCGAATCCTTCCAATAGCCAACTGCCATCACGGATTGGGCATCCTGTTCCCTTAGTTCGGGAACCTTCTCGGTCAAAAATCTCGCCAAGCCGAGAGTTGCTAGGTAGAACAACATCTTTTGTTGCCACCTTTTGAAATTCGATCCAATACCGGTGAATTTCTCCGGTCTTTCGGCCGAACCACTCGGTACCGTAGGTACCCGAGTCATGGGAATATATCCCTCGGTGCTCCCACCATATTGTGAACCAACGTTCACTGGTGTAGCTTGGGAATTAGCAACATTATTGCCATTCCCACCATTGTTGTTCTCAACAACATTCTCCTCCCCGAGAGCTGGCAAAATTGGATTCTCCATTTCTTCTAGGAAATTAGAGATAAACAACCAACGGGAAACGGATATAAGGTTTTAAGATTGTTGGGTAATTGGGTGGAAAATCCCAAAATAATAATAATCCTACGGAAAGATTAATATTATATGGGAAAACCGAAAAATTGGGAAGGAAAAGGTTGAGTGTTTGGGTATAAGTTTAGCACGAGTTCGAACACAAGGTTCTTTTCCTTAAAACCTTATTTGCTACCTCCCACAAGTGCTAGGAGCGTTGTAGCCTAGGTTTCCCAGGATAAAACGTGCTACGATTCCTTGTTTAAGCACCTAAATAAGGAACCCGGCAAACAAAGCAAAGTAGAGAACACTAGTTGGTAAAGAAGAGAGTAGAAGCAGAGTTTTGGGAAGCTGAAAGCTACTGGAATTCCTTTCGTTTTTGTACTGTGTGAAAATACTACTGCTCTACCTCTCTTTATATAGGGCTGTTGGAAGGGATAGCATTCAACATGGCTTTTAATTGGTATTAAACCAATTGTATAACACCTGTAACGGTCACCCACTAAGTAGGATTAAACTCGGATTTAAAATTGGAATTAAAACAGTATTAATTCCGTAACAGATGAGTTTAATCTGTACAACAGGCTGAACTTTCGGGTTTCAGACCGTTGGGGTGCAGGTTCACACGAGAGCACACGGACCAGCAACACGAGCGTACATCTCTCGTGCTCACTGTGGTGCAACCCGAGAGTGCACTACTCTCGTGGTCACAGATGCACGAGAGTTGTGCTCTCAGTGCACCACAACCTCCCGTGCTACACACGAGAGTAGGTGCTCTCGGTTCGGTTTTTGGCGAACCAAGTGACTATATCAGATGGAAAATGATACCGAAGTTAGGCATAACTTATGCCCGCAGGTGCCGGCGCACGCGAGCTCGGGCTTGAATCAAGCCTTTTCAATGTCCTCTAGTTGGATTTTGATTTGCACCCCCCCCCCCCCCCCCCCCCCGCATGCTATACAATTCTACAAGCTTGAAAAGAGCTCATGTATATAAGGGGGGCAAATCTTGTTTCCAAACCAATGTGGGACAAAGTCCTACATTTTCCCTTCATTTCCCAACTTAAATGGGTCTACTTTGAGAATCAATATCTCATTCACCCATTATCCGTTTTGAGCGTACAATATATCAATCTCTTCGTCTTACTACGAAGAATCCGAATCCACTTTGACCCGATCCAAATCGAAATTGAACCCCACTGATAATTGTACCACAAAATAGCCACTTAATATGTCATTTTATGCCATTTTAAACTAATTTTTACAACAATTTCTATATTTGGATTCAGCAACCAATTCCAAAATGACTAATCCAAAATCAATCGCCATCCCACCATGCCAACAAAATCTTTACATCAAAACCCTCCTAATGATACAGCATCAAGTCACCAAAATAAATCTTGGAAAACCTAAAGCTCAATCAATCGGATTCACTAATTATCCAAACAACCCAATTACATAATAATAATAAGAAAAACTTACAAAGATCTCAGCTTTAATCAATAAAAAGAATAATTAAAACTGATGGGAAAAGAAAAATGGAAGTAAAATATTGAAGGCAACTGTTAAAAATTGAAGGCAACCGTTTTAAAAATTTAAAAAGAAGAAATATATTAAATACTACATAGTAGTATGTCACCCGTGCAATGCACGATTAAATATTGTAATTAGATTATATGTAGGGTAATACTTGTGTGAGACTGTCTCACGAATCTCAATCCGTAAGACGGATCGAATCTTTGGCCTCATTAATCAAAGATCCCACCCGTTTCACGGATTGAACCCGTGAGATGGTCTCACACAAGTTTTTGCCTTATAAATACAAATGATAAAAATAAGCCTAACAAGCTAAATTTAAAATAATTATCTTAATTAATTTAATTATTCTAACTAAATAATAAAACTAATTATAAAATAATTTAACGATAAATTGTTGCTTCTTGGGATCGCAACAGTTTAATTTTCATCTCGTGCATCGCACGGGTGCAATACTAATATAGGTGATTGTCCGGCCTATAATGAATTATATTGCATAGAGTATTTCACTTGAAGGAGGTTCAACTATTATGACAGAAGAAAATAAGCCATAATCAATAAAAGTAGAAATTTGTTTTCGAACAACAGACAAATCGTAATCAAAAGTAATTCATGAACCAACCAACCAACCAACCGAATCTTAAGTCAAAATTAATTACCTGTTCCTAAAAGCATAAGACGTCTTCCACACCTTCATAGCAGTATCCATCAAGTCATCATTGAAAGGTATAAACTTTGGCTTCCCCTCGGTTGTTCCAGTACTGAAACAACCCAAATTAACAACACCATTACACCAAACATGCATATTACTGTAAAATCAATAAATAAAAAGGATACCTGCGTGACATGGCGGTAATGGGTTTGGCAGTGAGAATAGGATTGGCATCGCCATCTGCAATCCTCTGAATATAAGGCTCCAAATCCTTGTAGGAGACAAGGGGGATACAAGCTTTGAAACTCTCACTGTCTGTTCTTCCATTAAGACAGCATTTACGCAGATACTCTGTCTCGCTGTTTTCTTGCAGAATCCATTAAGACAGCATTTCTTGCATTTGCTATATATATATATTGCCCATGAGGGTCTTATATGTCCATTTGCCCATTTCTTGCATTTGAAAATGGGCAAATTGCCTAATTAAGTCCTCACAGGCCTCATCGTCCATCACCATCAGGCAGGCCCGGATTTTGGACTGTGCAAGCTGGGCTACCGCACAGGGCCCCAAATTTTAAAAACTCAATATTTTATTTTTACCTATTTAGTTTAGAAATAAAAATTAAAAGTTTTTAATTAAACTTAAAAGGTTTTATAAAGAAATGGTAGGAACATGTATTTATTGAATTTTAACTTAGAGGTCTAAGGTTCAAAACTTGTGTACACTATTATTATTATTCCATAATGTCTATTTTTACATGTGCGTTACACACGGAAAAGATTTGTTATATAGTGCAATTGATGAAATTGGTTGTATGGATTATGTTTTTTTTTATGTTATCGTTGCTTGAATTGGAGCAAATAATTGTCTAATTATCCGTGCAGTGTGCGTGCGATGCACGGATAATTTTTTTTTGTTATATATTTAAATAATAAAATTACGGTATTAGTTTTATAAATTTTAATTTTGGTAGAGCCTTATTTATTTATCCGAACAGGGCCACAAAAATCTAAAAACCGGCCCTGGCTCAACGACTCAAATTGCTCAATCACCTCCTCAGGATTAAACGCCATCCTCAACTCAGCTCACCTATAACTCCACAACAAGTTTTTATTATTTAAGGGCCGAAAGGTGAATTGCCTTTTTGTGTGTGTGTATGATGAGAGAGAGAGAGAGAAGTGATGAGGGATTGTGGCTGGGGAGAAATATATATATATAGGACAAGTGCTGAGCGAAGTGATGAGGGATTGTGGCTGGGGAGAAATATATATAGGACAAGTGCTGAGTGAAGTGAAGAGTGAAGCAGTACGTAAAGGTGGCTTAGTGTATATTAAATCAACATGGGAAGTGCTTAGTGAAGTGAAGAGTGCTGCAAACATTGAAAATTTTCCGTACCGTTTATATATATATATATATATAGTGAAAGGTTCCCGTGCGGTTGAATGCTTCTCGTGCGGTTGTGCGTGAGATTTGTACTCAATGTGCGTGAGTGTTGTGTCTAATGTACCTGAGATTTGTACTTAATGTGCGTGAATGTGTAAAATGCAGCAGAAAATATGAATGTCAGTTTCTCCTTTCCCAATGGGGTCGATCACCCTTCGCCGAAGTTCCCGCGTGATTTACGGAGAATCAAATTGCAGGTTTTTCGTGAAAAAATGGCGCTTAATCTTGGAAGTTGTTGAGGACACTCAATATGCAAGAACGAACTCAACACAGCAGCATAACATACATCAACAAGCTAAGGCAGCACTGCAAAGGTTTCCAAGAGAGAAACAGAAAGAGTTTTTGAAGGAAGAAGTAACAAGAAGCTTGGGCTTTAATGTGCGTGAATTTTCTGTTCTGCTTCTTTCTGAGCTCGTAATTCTGAATTACTCACGCACATAAGCACAAATCTCACGCATATTAAGCACAATACTCAGGCACATTAAGTACAAAACTAACGCATATTAACATGAGGCACATTAAGTACAAATCTCAGGCACATTGAGTACAAATCTCAGGCACATTAAGTATAAACCTCACGCATATTAATTCACCGCACATCCGCACGGGAAGCAACAAATGCACCTGATCCCTTCCCTATATATATATATATATATATATATATATATATATATATATATATATATATATATATATATATATATATATATATAGTTTTAAGATCAGGTGCGCAACATACTTCCACAGCGAAAATGCGGTGAACCATATGATGAATGACTTTCCTGCAATAAATTCAATACGAAATGATGAATGACTTTCCTGCAAAAAATTTGTATTTGAAGGGAGGTTATTCACATTAAATGTTATTAAATTATTTACCCATACAAATCGTTTGTAAATCTCACAAATTTCATTAGAAATTTAATTATATGTCATTGAAAAGAATGCACAATATATGACAAATACGACACAGAATTGTGCACTTGAAGGCAAAAAATCTGCACTGAAGAAAAAGATGGTTTACTTGAATGCTAAGTATATTTTTTTTACACAATAACTAGTATTTGCGCCCGTGCGTTGCACGGAATGAATTTGTTATAATATTTTATAAATATTTAGATCGATATACAATTGTATAAATTATAACATCGAATATTATATAATATAATTGAAGAATTGAGTTGCACCGATTATGTTTTTTGATGTTATCAATGCTTGAATTTGAGTAAATAATTGCCCAATTAATAGCTAACGTGTAGATATACGCATTCGGTGCTGAAACTTTAGAGATTTTATATATCAGTGTTTAGAATTTGTATTAATTGGGCTAATTAGCTCGTTGTCTAGCAATTTAGTTATAGAAATTATTTATACGGAAGATATATTTTCTATGTGAATATATAGTAATTTTGTCATCTTTATATATAAAAACCATAATATCAATGACTTGAATTATACATTATTGAAAATCTCTTTGTAGAGAACATTGGTAGTAGTAACACAATTTTATCCATCCTCGTCTAGAGTTAAAATCACCAAACCATCAGGATGGGTGACTCGGGAAAAAGTCACATACAATTAACCGTGATTAAAGACTGGTTTTTTTCAGTAATAACTCAACGTGAGTTAGTGTTTGACCTTGACTTTTGTTGATAGTCGTGGCATATGCGAGCATCAACATGAGTTGTTTTCGTTAGAACTTGAAGGATAATATCGTATCAGAAGGGTGAAAGACATTTTAATTGAAGATTTTACTTTTATTAATAGTATAAATATAGATTGGTGTCAATAATAATTAATAAATTATTATTTCCTTATAAAATTACATAAAATTTCAAATGGATTTTCTCATTTATTACGCAGAATTTGTTTCCGTTATTCTTACAATTATAATGGTTTAATTATTCTCAGAATTTGATAACCATTTTTAATTTTTAAGTTGACTTTAATTTGTGATAAAAATTCATTAGATATTGGTTAATTTTCATATAAAATTTTGTTACCAATTAAGCTTTATTAAAATTCTTTTATCAATTAATTAATATTCATATTAATTTGGGCGGGAATGTTGAAGATGAGAATTTTACTTTTATTAATAGTATAAAGTAAATAAAAATTAATAAATTATTATTTCTTTATAAAATTACGCAAAATTTCTCACGAATTTTCTCATTTGTTACGCAGAATTTGTATCCATTATTTTCACAATTATAATAATTTAATTATTCTCAGAATTTGGTAACCATTTTCTATTTTTATGTACATATTGACTTTAATCTGTGATAACAATTCATTAGATATTAGTTAATTTTCATTTACAATTTTGTTACCAATTAAGCTTTATTATTTTTTTACTAATTAATTAATATTCACGTTAATTTGGGCTGAAATGTTGTAAATGAGGATTTTACTTTTATTAAAGTCATTTCACTAAGAACCTGGAGCTTGTGGTTGAGTGGAAGGAACTCATCCATCCTTATTAACCAAAGGTGAGCAACTTTAAATCTCCGGGCCAAAGCATAAATGATATTGCAATAATTAATTTATTTATGATCATTGGTTCACATATTTAATTTATTTATTTTTTCTTTAATTATTCTCGTTGCAAACATAAATGATATTGTAATAATTAATTTATGATATTTATCAAATTGTATTTTTTTAAATATAAAATTTTCTCATGTTTAGGGATTAAAAAATATTTTAGAATTATTTTTTATTAGTAAGTAATTTTATTTTTAAAATATTTTTCAGCAACACAAACACTCCATTAGTCTATAATAAAAAAATGAAAAATAAAAGTTATTTCATTAAGAAAATTAAAACTAATTAAAGTAAATCTAATCATGCTATATTTATTTGTAACTGCATATTAATTTCATTTTGAAATCAGTGGTTCACATCTTTGAATTATTTATTTTTTCCTTCAACTATTATAAACAAAAATTATGATATTTATCAAATTATATTTTAAAATATATATATATATATATATATATATATATATATATATATATATATATATATATATATATATATATATATATAACATTTACACATGTTATGAGGGATTAAAAAATATTTTAAATTATTTTTTATTATTATGCATTTTTATTTTAAAATATTTTCCAGCAATCCAAATACTCCCTTAGCCTCCCATAAAAAACGGATAAAGAAAAGTCATGCTCTATTACATTGTAGTATCTATTCATATACTTTCTCAACCTAACGCCCCCACTGAGGCTCAAACTCATAATCTTCCAAATGGAAGTCCAACCTAGGTACCATTAGACCACATAGTCCTGGTAAAAAAAAATCATTTCATTAAGAAAATTAAAACTAATTAAAATAAATCTAATCTTGCTATATTTATTTGTAACTCTATATTAAGTTTATTTTGAAATAATTGGTTCACATATTTGAATTATTTATTTTTTTTCTTTAACTATTATAAACAAAAATTATGATATTTATCAAATTGTATTTTTTTAAAAAAAATATAACATTTACACATGTTATGAGGGTTAAAAAATATTTTAAATTATTTTTATTAGTATGCATTTTATTTTAAAATATTTTGCACTAATCCAAACACTTCCTTAGTCTCCCATAAAAAATTGATAAAGAAAAGTCATTTCATAAAGGAAATTAAAACTAATTAAAGTAAATCTAATCATGCTATATTTATTTGTAACTGTATATTAATTTCATTTTGAAATCATTGGTTCACATATTTCAATTTGTTTTTAATTATTATAATTTATGAACAGAAATAATATTGTACTAATTAATTTATGATATTTATCAAATTGTATTTTTTAAAAAAAAATTATAAGATTTACACATGTTATGAGGGGTTAAAAAATATTTTAAAATTATTTTTAATTAGTAAGTATTTTTTTAAAAAAAATAATTTCCACCAACTCAAACACTCCCTTAATCTCCCTTAAAAAACTGATAAAGAAAAGTCATATCATTAAGGTAATTAAAACTAATTAAAGTAATTGTAATCATGCTATATTTATTTGTAACTATATATTAATTTCATTTTCAAATCATTGGTTCACATATTTGAATTATTTATTTTTTTCCTTAATTATTATAAACATAAATAATATTGTACTAATTAATTTATGATATTTATCAAATTGTATTTTTTAAAATATAGTGTTTTACCGGGAAAATTTTTTGTTGTTATGAATTTAAAATTAAAATAAAAAAAAAAATAAAAAGATGTTAAAATGTACAATATATATAATAATAAATTTGGATTTTTATAGATTTGGTCAAGTACCTATTTTCATAACATACAAAATTAAAATTTAAATATTGTATGGTTAATATAATCTCTAATCATTACATAGTTAGATAAATTTATAGAAAAAAATTATAAAATTAAATTGATTTATTCCAAATTGTATTTCATATATATTATAATTCTAAAAATATGAATAATAATAACTAAGAGAATTGTACTTAGAAATCAATAAAAATGTAAATTCTAAATTTTGTATGAATAAATATAAACTCTAATAAGAGGCATATCCTTATCTCTATATCTCTATCTGACTATCTCTATCTCTATCTCTATATATATATATATATATATATATATATATATATATATATATATATATATATATATATATATATATATATATATATATATATATTAAAGCAAAATGGTTGGCACAAAAATTCCCCCCCCCCCCCCCAAATGTAGGGGCATTTCTGTAATATCATTTATTATTATTATTATCATTATTATTATTATTATTATTATTATTATTATTATTATTATTATTCATTACCCTATTGTGGTGGCTGACAATCCAATTAATATGCCATTATTTACCTATTGATTACGCTCCAATTTTTATTTGACTCATATTATTCTGGCTGGCAATCCTCTCCATAATTAGTGGCAATCCTTTCCATATAATTACTATTTTTATTTAACTTATAATATGCTGGCTAAATAATGAAAAAAATATATTTCCATAAAAGAAAATATGTCAGCACTTATCTAAATAATTACTTACTCAATAATTATTTGTCTTCTCCATATAATTAGATTCGTATTGATTATAGAAATTATAGAAATTTAAATTATTATTAATTAGTGAATTTTTGGTAGGATTTTCCTTTTTAGTTAATTTGGTTTCCTTTTCTATGTTTTTTACTATTAACAAATTATTAGTATTAATCTCCTTTTATATTTTCCTTTTAAGCTAATAATTTATATCCAAAATTATTGTACATTTATTTTAATTTCGTTTCCTTTTCTATTTTTCCTACTTTTACTCCTAACAAATTATTAGTATTACTATCCTTTTATATTTTCATTTTTTTACTGCTAATTAACCTTATTATTACTATTATTATTATTATTATTATTATTATTATTATTATTATTATTATTATTATTATTATTATTATTAACTGAATCCCGTTTTCATTTATTTTTTTCTACTGCTAATAATAATAATAATAATAATAATAATATTATTATTATTATTATTATTATTATTATTATAGTAATAATAATTTGTTATTATAGTATAGTATTTTAAATTAAATTATTTAAATTAAATCACCCTATATATTTAAATAGATTACCATAAAGTTACCATAATAATTACACAAAATAATGAAAGAAAAATTATGAGAATAATTACTCTTAATAAAAATTAGGAAATTATATTAAAAAATAATCTATATATTATGGTAAGTATAATCTATTTTGTGGCAATCATATTATATATTAAGTATAAAATATATATGTATGTAAATTACCATAATAATTACACCGGAAAAGGTGACAATACATAATTATTATGCAATAATATTAATAATTAATTATTAAGGCAGGTACAATTGATTTTGTACTAATAATATTAGACATTAATTACTAATAATATTGTACTAAAAGCAGTGAGTCTATATAGTACAACTATTTTCTTAAAAGTTAAAAAGGACAACTCCGGAAGCATTGGGTGGCTGCTAACTGTCAATCACCCTGCTTTTATTTTTTTTCTTTATTTATTCTAGGAAACCTTAAAAAAAAAACTTGTACCAATAATTTTACTCTAATCATCCAACCATGATATACGACATAGTACAATGTGGGGGAAACGAAATAGATTTGAGATGACTGCATTCTTTGTATTTAACAAACTGTAGCATGGCATTAGACATCAGTCGTGTACTAAATTAAAAAAGAAAAAGAAAATATCAAGATGGTCACAATAGCAAGCACTCAAAGGATAGGGAGCTACACAATCCTTATTTGTCTTGCATGGCAAATCATTCTTCTTCTTTGCTTCATCACCACTCCAAATACCTACAATCATTATATCAACTCACAATATTAGAGTTTTCACACATCTAATAAACATGTATATATGTTCTCTCTTATATTCTAAATGTAGACTCTTAAAATATATATATCATTGTGAAGTTGAAGATCTGATTTTACCGTCATTATTATTCTCGATCGTATCTCTACAATCTTTCATAAAAACTAAACCATTATGGTTCTATTACCAAGGCTCTTCCTCCTCAATTTTCTTTTGTTGAAGCAGAGCATCCTTACGTATCTTCAAGCTCATACCAGACGATATAAACTGCAAAACATATTGAAGTACGGGAGAATATAGTTAGAAAAATATAAAAAAAATTCATACGAAAAGAAAGCAGAAAAATGAGTCTGAGATTCTTTAATTGATGGGGGAGGCTAGGGATTAGAAGAATTATAAGTTTGTATTTATAGGTAGAAAATACTAATTCAAAAGGAAAGAATAATAATTTATTTATTTAAGGTAATGTTGAGGTAATAACATTATTATTATTATTATTATTATTATTATTATTATTATTATTATTATTATTATTATTATTATTATTATTATTACGAAAATGCCACTAAGTTTTGGGGGGAAAACTTGGTAGGAGGATTTTATTTTTATATATATATAGATAAGACACACACACTTGTAGGCATTAAATTTAGCACTTAAAGGCATAAAGAAGATCATTAGAAGGCAAGAGAGAAAAATGACATTAAAAAGAAAAATTCAAAAGAAGTTAATTGTGCACTCTTAGAAAGAAAAACATGCACTTGAAGGCTAAAAATATGCACTAGAAGGGAAAAAAAAAAAAAAAAAAAAAAGGTTCAATGGATGGTAAGTATTATTTTACTTTTTTTTTTTTTTTTATAACAAAATAGTAAGACACACATGCACTTGTAGGCATGAAATTGTGCACTTGAAAGCATAAAGAAGATCACTAGAATGCAAGGTGAAAAAAGGATACTAAAGGAGAAAATTAGAAGAAAATTAATTGTGTACTCTTAGAAAGGAAAACATGCACTTGAAGGCTACAAAACGTGCACTTGAAGGTAAATTTTTGCACTCAAAAGAGAAACTAAGTACTGAAACAAAAATGATGCACTCGACAAAGAGAAATATGCACTTGAAAAATGAAAAATGTGCACTCAAAAAAAAAAAAAAGTGCACTCAGATACAAAAGACAAGCTGACTTACTCAAAATTATAAATATGTCACTGTGTATTTTTTAATTGAAATTCAATTTCGGCTATTGATTTGGATTATATCTACGATTGGAAATTGTGCGTTGATGGAATAATCACGGAGCAACCGGGTCTGACCCCGGAGCAGGACGAACCACCCCGGGGTCGGCCCAGCAGGGGGTCGGCGTGGGCCGACCCCCCGAGCTGGGGCTCGGCCTCGGCCCCCATGGGCTTGGCCCATTGGCCGAGCTCCGTGCTCGGCTAAGGCCCGGGTCCTCACGTGGAGCGAGTCCCGCGGGGGGAGCCGCGCGGCGCGGACCGCGTAGCGGCCGGGGGTATACAAACACCCCCCGGTGTCCTAATCAGGCATCTCATACTTTTCTTACAACATTTGTCTTGTTATTACACGTCCCGAACCTCTGTAATAGCATTTTATATCCAATTAATACAATATTTATCATTTCGTTATTCGTTCGTTATATTCAAACATATATGGGGTTGTATAATCCGGACCCCCGGGTTCATATAATCCATCATTGGTGCTCTTGTTGAGAGCGGCTGTACAAGCTTAAGCGCTCTCCCTATTAATATCCTTCATTGACAGCAATGACAAGATCCGGGTCGAACACCCACAACTCGCAGGGCTCGCGGAACCCACGCGACCTCGCCCTCGTCAACCGCCCCAACGGGATCGTGGCAAGCCGACAGACCATGTCCGTGGGGGCCGGGGAGGACCTCCGGGATCAGATCAACGGGAGTTGGCAGGGGGCCGTGGGGGACCTTCGAAGTCGTCTCACCAACAATCGCCCTCTCGGCGGGGCAGTGCCACCCGCACCACCTCAGGTCCCGACCTCCCAACAAGATGCCGTCATACTAGAGCAGGCGGCGAACGCGCTCAACCGCGTCGTGGCAGGGCTGCGCCGGGGAGACCCAGCGCCCCCACCTCCGCCCCTCTGAGGGTGCGCAGTGGCCCCAGCACTCTGGCGCCCCGGGAACCCGCAGCACCGGCTGAGGAGGAAGTCAATTCACCACGACCTTCTGGGAGGCCCAACGGGGCGGAAGTCACTCGAGGCCGACACGAGCAGCGAGAGGAAAGGCGAACTCGGCCGACGCGTACCACCTCTGCGCTCGGGAGGTTGGGCCCACGTGTACCGGCGCGAAACCGCCTAGGGCCGGGGCCGGCCACACACGTCAGGCAAGAGGAGTCATCGTGCTCGCGGAGATCCCGGAGCCACGAACCCCGTGTCCCGAGGCAGCGGGAGCCGGCCCCACCCGTAGAACGCTCGGGGAAGACCAGAGGCCAACCCCCGAGCACCCAGCGCGAAGAGATGGAACAGTTGCATCGACAGATCCGCGAGTTGCAGCGCAAGATGGAGGCGCGCGACGAGTCCCCGGAACCCCGGGACGCCCTGGCCACACCCTTCACGGAGGCCATCATGGCCGAGCCTTTACCCCGGGAGTTCCGATTCCCGACCATCAAACCCTACACGGGGGCGACGGACCCGCGGGACCACCTCAACAGGTACAAGGCGGTCATGATGATGACAGGCATAAATGACGCCATCATGTGTCGCGGTTTTTGCACGACTCTGGATGGGCAGGCCCAGGATTGGTTCGGGTCCCTCCCGGGGGACTCCATTCCCACTTTTACGGTCCTGACCAAGAAGTTCATGTCGCACTTCGCGGGCAGCATACAACGGCGAAAGCAGTTCGCCGACCTATGTTACCTGAAGCAAGACGAGTCGGAATCTTTGGTGGAGTACCTGAGTAAGTGGAAGAAAGAAGCTATGGGGGTAACAAATTTTGATGAAAGGTCCGCCATCCCGTTTTTCACCAATAACCTCAGGTCGGGTCCTTTCCACAGCGACCTTGTTCGGAATGAGCCGAAGACGTACACAGAATTGATGGACCGCGCCGCGGGCTACGCCAATGCGGAGGCAGCAGAGAAGAGGGAGAAGGAGGAGGAGGAAGGTCGCAGACAAGGCGACAGGGCATCTCACCCTCAAGAGGATCGCCGCCCTCCCCGGTCGCGACGTGACCCGGGTCCCCATCTAGCCCCGCTACGACACCTGACCCCGTTGACACAGCTTGTTAGCGTCATCCTGGACCATGCCGAGGACATGGGCATCGTGTCGTTCCCCAAGGAATGCTTAAAGATCTCCCCCAAAGCCGACCCGAAGAAGTATTGCAGCTTCCATCGGCAACGTGGACATGACACCGACGAATGTATGGTCCTAAGAGGCAGATTGAGGAGCTCATTCAACGGGGATACCTGGGGTAATACGTGAAGAGATCCGGGCAGGACCACGCAAAAGGCCTTGACAACACCCGAAAGAAAAAGGATAGCACTTGGCCCTCTACTTCCGCCCCGGGCAAGAGGGAGCTCGACCACCTCACGGAGGACGAGGAGACCGAGCCAGACAGCCCACCAAAGAAGAAGATCATCCGTGTCATCTTCGGCGGCCCGGAGGGGGGAGACACACCCACCGAGAGGAAGAAGTGGGCGCGAAGCCTGTACGTCGGGGAGGTCGTCAGAGCACCCCATGAGAAGAGGACACGCAGGGAGCCCATAGCGTTCACTGACGACGACCTCCCGGATGGACCCTTACCCCACCGGGACGCATCGGTAATCAGCTTGGACCTTAATGACACCATTGTCCACCGGGTACTGGTAGATACGGGGAGCTCCGTGAATGTCATGTATTATGACACCTTCACGCAACTCGGGTTATCCAGGAAGCAGTTTTCCCAGGTTCGGACCCCGCTATCCAGCTTCACCGGAGACTCCATTGAAACAGAGGGGTCCGTCATCCTTAAAGCGCAGATCGGCACCCCGCCGCACGTGAAGACATGGGACGTAGAGTTCGTGGTGGTGAAGATCAGCTGCGCCCACAACATCATCCTTGGCAGACCTGCCTTGGAGGACCTCAGGTGCGTCATCTCTATGGAGCACATTTGTCTCAAATTCCCTACTCCCACCGGAATGGGCACCGCGAAGGGGGGACCAGAAGATCAGCCGGAGTTGCTACTTGAAGGCCTGCCGTCAAATAACGAGGAAGGATCTCCAGGTACACACAGTAACCGAGAGGGCACTCAGGGAAGAAGAGAAGCGGCCCCGCGCTGAACCCGTGGTGGAGACGGAAGAGGTCATCCTGGACCTCAGCCGACTTGATAGGATGGTGAAGGTGGGCACAGGTCTCCCGGCCGACCTCCGAGGTCGGATTGTCGAGGTCATCCGCAGCTATAAAGACGTGTTCGCTTGGGGTCCCGAAGACATGCCGGGCCTCAGCCGGGAGGTCATCACGCATAAACTGGCGGTGGACCCCAAAGCCAAGCCTGTCCAACAAAGGAAGCGCTACCTCGCCGCTGATAGACGGGAGTTCGTGAAGAAGGAGGTCGACACCCTCCTTGAAATCGGGCACATCAGGGAGGTCACGTACCCGGCATGGCTCGCGAACGTAGTCCTCGCACCCAAACCGCCTACGTGGAGGATGTGTGTGGACTACACGGACCTCAACAAGGCATGCCCCATAGACCCCTTTCCACTACCCAACATAGACCAGCTGGAGGACGAAACAACGGGATGCGCGCTCATGAGCTTCCTGGACGCCTTCAGAGGGTACCACCAAATTTTCATGCACGAAGAAAAGACGGCGTTCACCACCCCCAAAGGGGTCTTTTGCTATCGGGTCATGGCATTCCGGCTCAAAAATTCGGGGGCCACGTACACGAGGATGGTGGCCAAGGTGTTCAAGAAGGTCCTCGGCCGGAACTTGCAAGCCTACGTGGACGACATGATTGTGAAAAGCACGGAAGCCGACCTACACATAGCCGACTTGACGGAGGTATTTTCCAGTATGAGGCATTTTGATTTACGTTTAAACCCCAAGAAATGCACTTTCGGAGTACACGGAGGGAAATTCTTGGGGTACATGGTCTCAAAGAGGGGTATTGAACCCAACCCCGAAAAAGTCAAGGCCATCCTGGAGATGGAACCCCCGAGGTCCCTCCGCGAGGTCCAGCGCCTCAATGGTCGGCTGGCGGCCCTCGGCCGGTTCCTCTCGAGGTCGGCCGAGAGGTCCTTGCCATTTTTTGGGGTCCTCAAGAAGAACCAGGGGTTCGAGTGTACCTCATGACGTTACCCCCCCTGGCCAAGCCAGAGAAAGGGGAGGTGTTGTATCTGTACTTGGGCATCTCGCAGGCCGCGATCAGCTCCGTACTGGTCCGGGACAACGTGGGGACCCAACGCCTGGTGTACTACGTGAGCAGAGCCCTCCGAGGCGCTGAGCTCAGGTACTCACCCACGGAGAAAGCGATCTTCGCCGTGGACGCCACGGCCAAGAAACTCGGGCATTACTTCCAAGCACACCCCGTACGGGTCCTCACCAACCAATCCCTCGAGGCAGTACTAAGGGCTTCGGGGTCGGCGAGCAGGTTGGTCAAGTGGTCCATGCGGTTGAGCCAGTATGATGTCCAGTTTAAGCCCCGACCCGCAATCAAGGGACATGCACTCACCGACTTCATAGTCGAGTGCACCGCTCGCGAGGCCGCCGAACTAGCCCGGAGCGACGAGGAAGATTGGTGGACCCTGTCCACGGATGGCTCGTCCGGCCCCAAAGGGTGTGGCGGAGGGGTGGTACTCGTAACCTCGGAAGGGTTCCGGGCCTACTACGCTCTTCGCTTCCACTTCAAGTTGTCCAACAATGAGGCCGAATACGAGGTGCTGTTGGGTGGCCTCAGGCTAGCTGTGGGTCTGAGGGCCTCCAAAATAAGGGTGCGGTGTGACTCCCGGCTGGTGGTCGGACAGGTGAACGGCGAATTCGAGGCCAACGAGGAGAGGATGAGGAGATACCGCGACGTGGTACTCCGGATCCTCGGTCAACTGACCCTATACGAAATTTTGCAGGTACCCCGAAGCCAGAATGGGGACGCGGACTTGCTCTCCAAGCTCGGCCTTGGCACCCCGGAGCATGTCTCCAAGATAGCACGGATCGAGGACCTCCAGAGGTCCAGCCTAGAGGCCTACCCCGTCTTCCCCATACAGACACGGTCCACATGCTAGTTGGACCACCTCATTGAGTATAAGAAAATAGGTACCCTGCCGGCAGACGAGGCAGCCGCCAAGGCGGTCAAGAGGAGGTCACCAACATATGTCCTCATTAGAGACACCCATTACAAAAGATCCTACAATGGCGCCCTCCTCCGATGCCTGTACCCGGACGAAGCCAAGTCCGTCAAAGAGGAGATACATGAAGGCACCTGCGCTGCACACCAAGGAGCCTTTGCCATGGCAAGGAGGGCCCTATTGCAGGGGTACTTTTGGCCAAACATGGCCAAGGAATGCGCGGAGTACGCCCGGGGGTGCCCGACTTGCCAGCACTTTCACCCGAAGCCGGGACGGCCAGTGACCAGCTACACACCTATCAGCACAGTAATCTCATTCTCACGGTGGGGGATCGACATCGTTGGGGCCCTACCCATGGGGTCCGCGAAGAGGAAGTACATAATAGTCGCCATAGACTATTTCACAAAGTGAGTTGAAGCGGAGCCCCTCGCCACCATCACGAGCACCCGGTGCACGGAGTTCATACGGAGGAACATTTTGTATCACTTCAGGGTCCCTATGCAAATCATCTCCGACAACGGGCGTCAGTTTGAAAGCAAAGAATTTAAAGCATTCTGCGACCAATGGTACATAAAACACACCCGTGTGGCAGTGGCATACCCACAGGCAAACGGGCAGGTGGAGAACGCCAACAGAACTATAGTTGATGGCATCAAAAAGAACCTGGACGCAGCCGGAGGAACATGGGTGGAGGAGCTGGACACCGTCCTATGGGCATATCGCACCACCCCAAGAAGGGCCACCGGGGAGACACCTTTCGCGCTGGCATACGGTTTCGAAGCACGGGCTCTCACTGAAGCTGTGATACCATCCTATCGGGTGGCAGTATACGACCCCGACCTCAATGAGGAACACCACGCCGCCGACCTCCACCTCATCGACGACAGAAGGGAGGAGGCCACGGTCCGCGCAGAAAATTACCAGCGTCAAACAAAAGCTTACCATGACAACCGAGTCCGACCTCGTTACTTCCAGGTTGGCGACTACGTCCTCCGGAGGAGGGAGGCGAGCCGACCCCAAGATGGAGGAAAATTTGCAAAGAAATGGGAGGGACCGTATGTTATCGAGGCCATCGTAGAACCAGGCAGCTACAAGCTGAGGACCACATCAGGCAAGGCGGTAGACAGGGTTTGGAACTCAGAGCACTTGTTGAAATTTTATCAGTAGAAATTCATTTGTATGGCCTACCCCTACCCAATAAAAGTCCGGGTTCCCCACAATAACATCTGTTTACATTCGCAATGAAATAATAATGAAGTTCTTTGAACCAGTTACCCTGTCCCGACTGGCGGACGAGCTTGGACACACACAGAGCCGTGCGCTCGGGCACCCCGAGGCCGACCTACCCGAGGTCGGCCGACACGGGGGTGGCCAGACCTTGGGGTCGGCCGCCGCGAGGTCGGCTGTACCTGGAGGTCGGCCGGCACGGGTGGGGTCGGCGTAGGACCGGTCCTCCCAAGGGGCAAGCGCACGAGAGAGTCCGAACGCGACGGTCACGTACGCAAAGAGCCCGGCGGCCACATCAGACATAACGTACGCCCTAGGGGTGGTACGAGGTCCGTCCTCGCCTACCACCGAACGGAAGGATTCGGGACGCGAGTTATTGGACTCCATCAGAAGAATTGCTAAGGCGTCCTAGGGGCGATATGGGGTCCGACCTCACCTGTCGCCGAACGGGCGCAACGCAACCTCAACGTCCTAGGGGCGGTACGAGGTCCGTCCCCGCCTACCGCCGAACGGAAGGATTCGGGACGCGTGTCATTGGACACCATCCCAAGAATCGCTAAGGCGTCCTAGAGGCGATATGAGGTCCGACCTCACCTGTCGCCGAACGGGCGCAACGCAACTCCAACGCCCTAGGGGCGGTACGAGGTCCGTCCTCGCCTACCGCCGAACGGAAGGATTCGGGACGCGAGTCATTGGACTCCATCCCAAGAATCGCTAGACGTCCTAGGGGCGATAGGAGGTCTGGCCTCACCTGTCGCCGGACGGGCGTAACGCAACCCCAGCACCCCAGAGGTGGTACGAGGCCCAAACTCACTCGCCGCCGGACGGGCGACCCAGCAAGCAGACCCAGTGGGGTCGGCCGGCCGACCCCGGGACGTCGGCCAGCCCTGCGGTGGCGGGCTGGTTGGCACCGCGATGGCAGGCCAGCTAAACCCCCGCGTTACCAGAGTTCCTTAGTCCCGCAGGGAAGGGAACGATACGAGTCGTGAAGAGGAGCAATCATGATTAAATGCGCAAGCAAAACAGACAAAGTAATACGAAATAGAAGAATAATGTCATAGCGAACAACGTCATGGCGAAGCCAACAAGTCTCGAGCAAACAAAATAAACAAAAGCATATGGGCGACAACCTGAGCAACAAGATAACACCAGTCTAAACAAAACAAAAGAGATAGTCTATGCAAGCAACTAAATAAAGATAAGGGGCCGCCAACACGAAAGGACATCAAGACTGCGGCGCCTCGCGGGCACCATCATCATCACCCAAGTCACCCTGAGTCTCCTCTTGGGGGGCATCCACGCCGGCAAAGCGAAGAGGGTCTTGATGTCCGCACTCAAGAGGGTCTTGAAGTCCGCACTCGACGAGCGGTCGGCCGCCGAGTCCAATGGTGGACGCTCGCTATCTCCACCAACAGCCACGTCCATAGGATCACCTGGCTCCTCCTCCAACTCCTCGGGCAGGCCCCATGCAGCGGGGTCAAAGGATGCGTCTCTGGCGCGAAGGATGGCATAGATCTTGCTCTGCATGGAGGACTCCCCCGCCTCGAACAACTCCATCCCGTGCAAACCCAAACACTCGTTCCCCGCGGGGAAGCTCGAAAGATAAGTCAAGGTCTCCTGGGGGTGCGCAGAGATATAGGCCTGAGTATCCTGGACGAAGGCCTAAGAGTCTTTGTAACCTGAAACAGCCACCCTCGAGGCCTCTTTCAAGGCCACTTGATGCGTCATGCGCTCCCGCAACCGGCTGGCAATCAACTCAGCATGCTGATCCT